GGACGATCACGCCAAGCGAGACGACTCCGAGTGACGACCCCGGATCTAGCGTGCCTGAGGTCGCCGTGCTTCTCCTCTGTTCTTGTGTTCTGTTTGATGTTGCTGCTAGTAGACATTCATGTATCAGTCCATCGCATTGTGTCTCATCCTGGATGTTCATGGAAATCTTCGAGCCAAAGCTTCATATGATACAATGCGTGTTCCTATAATTTCACCCTAGGCGCAATCCCTTGAGTGGAGAGTGTTGCTCCTCCATCAAGCAAAATATGTGCACCAGTGACATGTGCACTAGCGGGAGAGCAGAGGAACAATGCAATTCCAGCCAGATCCGAGGGGTAGCCAAAACGACCTGGACAACATATGATCTATGAAGAATACCCACTCAGCGAAGACCATACCAGTTGGTTGAAAAGATGAAATCTTTTCTTCGCCCTTGGACTTGAAAGCGAATGCTGTCATCTTGGTGGGAAAGACACTGCTTGACAAGTCAGATGCATCCAATCCAGGTCCCATTAGACATACCCGGGGCAAATTGCGTTCACCCTGTTTCAGTCGATGGTAAGTGACAGAAGCAAGATACAGTGTGTCACATACATAATCTTCCGCGGGCCTAGCTTAACAGCTAATATCGACGTAAGATGGTTTACTGCTGCCTTGCTAACATTATCTAGGGAATGTAGATGTGAATACGATCGGAGGATTGACGGTTGCGAGGTATGCACGACTGACAGCTGTACGTTCCGTTACCGTCGGCGCTCAGGAGACTTTCGGAGTGTGCACTGACGCTCGCAGTCGATGAAATATTGACGACGTGAGCAGGGTCAGTAGCAGTTGCGTCCTTGGCGAGCCATGACGATAACCTCAGGTACACATCATCTCAATGGAAACTATAGATCGATGACCTGCAGTAACTCACCCCGAAGTCACTAAACGTCACAAATCAGCATCGGAAGTGGTGCGGCCAAGTAGGGATAATGGTTGCTCACAGTAAAAGATGCTCTTCACGTTTAGAGCCATGATGTTGTCCCAACCCTTGTCTTCGGGGAAGGCGTCAAATGGAGCACCCCATGACGCGCCAGAGTTGTTCACGAGGATGTGCAGTGTCTTGGCTGGTTCGCGCTCGGCAAGGGCTGAAATCAACGCGTCCACCCCAGCCTTGTTCTACATACGACAGCATAAGCAAACGAATACGTGTCATCAGCACCAGAGACGCCAATCTCGCGCCATGTCACAGATCACTCACGCTGAGGTCGGAAACGATATAGTGCGCACTGCCAGGACTGAGCGTGTTGAGTTCCGCCGCTGTCTAGAACAAGACGTGTTACCAAGGTCCTTGACAACCGTCGCAGGTACAGCGCACCTCTTTCAGATTCGCTTCCTTTCTTGCAGCAATGTAGACCTTGGCACCGTTTTGAACGAGTGCGGAGGCGATCGTCTTCCCGATACCTGTGCCGCCACCGGTAACGAGCGCTACGGCGAGTCCAGACCGTCGTCAGCACATGACCGCTCGAACAAGTATAGGCATGAATGGGTACATACCGATTTTCCCGCGAACGTTGAACAAGGACTCCAGAGAAAAGTCTGCCAGGGACGTGTCACCGCGAACAATAACGTGGGGTGAGCATGGGACGAACTCACCAGAGGCAGGCATGGCGCTTTCGCGAGATGAACTCTCTGCAAGTTCAGCAAGAATGATGGACGTCGCACGAGTCGGCGTGTTAAGTGGGTCCGGCTATCTGGGGAACCGGGCCGAACATCAGCCGTGACGTTTCACCTGCCTTGCGCGCTTGACAGGCTTGACTAAGGCCATGTCAGAGTATAGTCTGCGTTAACCGTCTTCAACAGGTCCACCACTTATTCGGGCCGTCACGATCATGTCGGTGCTCTTTGACATGGCGGACGACCTCGCACGTCATGGTAATGTCGCGCAAACCGACTGTCATGGAGATAGCTCACTGCATGGTCACCGACATGCGAGATAATTGGTTTCATGTACGTGTTAAAAGAATATTTGCGGACGGCGGGGCAACTGCACACATATACCTTCGTCGTTTTTCACAGATGCGCTCATTACTGTCAATCGTTTTTATTGCTGTCTTGCTGGGCTTGACATCCGCGTTATCCCACCGTCGCTCTTTCGGGATCCCCATTCAGAAGAGATCGACCTTCACAAAGAATGGGGTAGTCAACCTAGACGCGGTTCGCTCTCATCTTGCGTATTCAGAGGGGTAGGTCATGTTTCATGATGCACTGTACCCATCCATCTCATCTATGTCGTCCAGAAAGTATTTGCGAGGGGCCTCTGCAATTAAGTATTCCACAGGTGTAATCTCACCCTCTTCGAGTGGGCATACTGTCGGTCGACGGGCTGCTAGTGGGGTTTCTGTTCCGCTCACGGAATACGGGACCAAATTATGGTACGGCAATATCTCTGTAGGATCGCCTCCTGTCGAATACAAGGGTGCGCCACTCGTTCATCTCATCTCACAATACCTCATGCACCGACATTTAGTGGATTTCGACACTGGGTCTGCGGACTTGTTCCTTCCTTCGTCGGATTGTAACACGACGTGCGCTGGACACACGCGCTACAACCCAGCAAAGAGCTTTTCGGCTGTCAATCTGCATCAAGGCTTCAATCTCTCATATGGGGATGGTTCCACGGTATTTGGAGACCAATACACGGACACAGTCACCATCGGACGTTTCGTGGTGCGTTACTTGCACACTATCACATACTTGAGGTCTCTGAGAACGTCATAGGCCAAAAACCAAACCATCGGGGCAGCCTTACAATATTCCGCTGGCTTCCAAGCTGACAATTTCGCACCCGACGGCTTAATGGGCATGGCGTTTCCGAACATTTCTGTATTCTACGCCAATCCTATTGTTCAGACGCTCATTGCAGAGAGACAACTTTCCGATCCCGTTTTTGCGTTCAAGTTGGCCTCATCGGGGTCTGAGTTGTCAATCGGGGGCGTCAACCAGTTACTGTACAAAGGCAATGTCACGTACGCACCCGTCACTCGCCAGGTCAGAGCTTGTCTATACTACCCCTATGTTGAGCGTTGACATGCGAGGTTCAGGGATTCTGGCAAATCAACGTGGGTTCTCTCAATGCCAACGGACAAGCGATTAGCAAGAACATTTCCGCAGTCGTGGACACGGGAACGACACTCATCCTCGGGGACGCGGCCACCGTCCATCAGTTTTACAGTGGCCTTAACGCCACAGACGTAGGCGATGGGCTGTACACGAGTAGGTCGTCTCGCATACACTAGTGCTTGCTCTTCTTACCCTATTCCATACAGTGCCTTGCAATGCAATGCCCAATGTTAGCATCACCATACAAGGAAAGCTCTTTGCTATCTCCGCTGAGACGTTCAACCTCGGGCATTACGATACCGCCGGGACTCAGTGTGTGGGCGCCATAACAGGCGCGGGTAGCCTTGGCGGTGTGTCAGTCATCTGTCGTTTCGCCTATTTTCTGATGGTCCCCGTGACTAGACATTTGGATTCTGGGTGACGCCTTCCTGCAAAACGTCTACTCTATTTTTGACTTCGGTAAACTACGGGTCGGCTTTGCTGACCTCGCGTGAAGCTCTATTTGGCGAGTCTCTTAAGGCGGACTCTGGTAGTCCTTCTAGACGAACAGCTTCGAACGCAAGCACTGGTACTTTGGATCATTTCGTTGATATACCACATCGACCAGGCTTCCTGTGAATATTATCATTGTTATCGGAGACAATCAGCAGCCATCATGTGCATATTTATATCACGAATAGGATTTGAGCCGACTAAACGCCGTTCACCATGTCCGCCACATCTAACAAAGACGCTAGACCACATAGTACATCTGACGCCACCTGGCACGGTCGAGCAGGTATCCCAACAGTTCAGGGATTTGGGTTTCAAGTTTGTGCTCAAGTCCCTCTATTGAGCGTCTTCGTGAAATGACTTCGATACCGCTTACAGCGTCATCGCTGGTGGAGCCCACGCAGGGGGCCTTTCCTCAAACGCACTCGTGGTAAGCCTGCACTTCTATCAACCCACCTATCGTTATTCCCAACTCGCCCAGATCCTTGGCGATGGTGCCTACCTCGAACTCATCTCCTTCACGCACCCCGCCTCGCACTACCCCATCGGTTCGCCCGATCGTCAACGACGCGATTCCGACCCTTGGGCCCACAAAGACCCCGGATGGATCGACTTTGCGTTTCTCGGCTCTTCCGCAACCTCGATCGCGCACATCATCAACACGCGTGCGGAGCGAGATCACAGCGGGATCCACTACACACCCGAAACGCCCGGCGGACGTACGCGCACGGATGGACGGGTCCTCGAGTGGGTCATCACTGGTACAGAGGACGATGAGCTCCGTGGGACCGTTCCGTTCTTTTGTGGGGACGTGACGCCCAGAGGATGGAGGGTGCGTCGCTGCTTCTTTTCTTCTTCTTTCGAGGATGCGGAGTCGAGTGGTGGGTATGCTGACGAGGCGAGGTTGGACAGGTCCCTGTTGAGCCGCCGTCGAATGCGGTCCATCCTTCGGGCGTACAAGGCGTGGCGTATGTTCGTGTGCTCACGGAACCAGGATCGCTCACGAGCGTCTCTGCGAAGCTCACGTCAGTCGTCGGGGAGCCTCCACGATTGAACGCTCAAGAGTCGGAATATACCTGGACGTTGGAGGTGCAATCGGGCACGTCAGGTGCTGAGAAGCCACGTCTCATCCTGGGCGCGCCGAAAAACGGCGAAGAGCGGGATCATTTGGATACAAAGGGTCCGGGAATCTTTGAAGTAGGGTTTTCAGTAGGGCACCATGGGGTTGAAAGGGAGTCGAGAACCCCGTACAGCAAGATTGTCTGGGTGCGGTCTCCTTAGACTCGAAGCAACTTCTGAGGGTGTATTATGCCCGGACGTACCACGGCACAAACCAACGAACCCAAGTTATGCTCCCTGAGGATGTTGATTGTAAAAGATGAAGAAAAAATTGCGCAAAGAATTGACCGCCGCAGGGGTCGAACCTGCAATCTCCTGATTACCGTATCGTAGTCAGACGCGATGCCATTTCGCCAGGCAGCCGACATCACAGGCGACACGGCAGGTCTCATCAGCAGCTGGATGTCGTGAACAGAATCTTGAGCTTGCATCAACCGGTGAGCGTTTTTTGACGTGTTCGTGATTCAAAACTACTCGACAAGATTCAAAGTGTAGTAAACATCTGAAGTCATATTTCCGTCTGATCCAGTGTCTCACAGCACATACGCGGTTCAATCGGCATCACTCGTAGGCGAGTGCGACAACATATACTGTGTGTGCGCTACTGCCAGTAAAACCAGCTGTATGCATAGGCTGTGGCACAAAATCCAAGACTTTCCCATGGCCGCTAAAGAACTCGTGCCTTATCAGTGTTGTGGATGGATGCATCCACGAGCCAAATTAGTTGCGGGCCTCCGGTCTTCATAGGAGTGGTGATCTCAAAGCCCAAGAACGCCGTGGTGATAGCTCAAAACGCCACGATATCCGTTGAACCCTTTTTGTCCGAGTACCCGTTGAACTTCCCACAGCCTCTGTGAGCAGGTGGCAGAGAAGATCAGCGGCACCATGATGCTATGCCTCGTCAGTTTCAAGCTCAGTCACAGAAACATCGTCGATAAAGCCGGACTACTCAGCGAAACCGAGATGATGGACTCATCACGCGTGATCGTTCCCTTTCATTGCAATTCTATTTCGGTACGCGTGCTTAGATACTTGATCGGCGAACATCGGAATCCCTGGGTTCTGACGGACTCGGTGTTACTCTTGCAAAGCGAAGAGGCGACAGCGCATCTGAATGGACACGAGAAGAGTTGTTCTTTGCGATGGCGATGCGAACGAGGACCGTGTAGAACGCGATGGATATTATGGGCGGTACCTTGGAATTAGGTCAGCGAGGACAATACGCGATGGAAATAAATGGGAAGACGAACCATATCCACTACGACGAGCTGCCCAATACTCTGGAAAGCGTAGCACAAGAGGAGAGCAATGAGCGCGAGTGTATATAAGACCGCCGCGTCTATAAGAACGCGGAGCAAAAGTGTGGCCGTGACCCCGGACCGAGGAGGCACCCGGACTACCCCAGGTGTATCGCGATTTATCATCCAGATGCGATAGGCTAGTAAACCTGTTTAGATCATGCAACGTCACACTAGTTGGTGGATGAACATTTCTAATCAGCTCACCAGAACCGAGCAGGTTCGTTGTCATTGTCAACCCATAGAAAATTGCAACCCATTTTCCGAAGTTGACCATGGAGAGATCTGGTTCCACTGCATGCGACGTCTTGTAAAGTACCCCTGTGGAGGTTGCTGGTGACACTGAGTTAGGGCCGCACATTCTCGATATATCACCGACGCACCAAAAGCAGCACACCACAGCACTGCGGGCAGCAAAATGACGCGAAAGCTTTGCCAGACGACATAACAACGATATATCTGTTTTGAGCGCTATGAGCACGAGGGAACAGGTAAATACAAGAACTCACTATAACCCCATCTCCAAGTAGCGTTTGTAGGACATATACGGTGTTCTTGATGATAAACGTTTGTTGCGTCACATCCGCAAAGAAACCCGTCGGGCCGCCTGGAAAGGGGTCGGCTTTGCTAGTGAAGCCAACTATGAGTCGCTGGATATCAACGACCACATGCTTGATAATATGACGTCAATACAGTGAACCAAGCGTGAACGAGGACCTACGATTGTACTGAGAACCGATAACATTAAGGCGACCAGCACCATTGGCCAGTTAATTTCATCCTTGGAACGCCCGTGGGTTAGTGCCCACACAGTCCCGCCGAATAGTACTAATGAAATACCTATTGCACCAAAGATGCTCGAGTTGTCAGTTTCATGGAGAGAATTATCAGGCGATCTGCAGTTACCATACAGGATACACTCTATTGAGGTAGAAATTAGGGTAGCAAAGTCAAGTCCGACCCCCGCAGGGGACATCATCGGTATGGAGGGCGTCGTTCGTTGCGTCTAGCGGCCCCGGGGGGAATGAATTCAGTGATGTATCCATCGTCGAGCCGGATTACACTATAAATTAAAACGCAGAGTCTGCGCACTGCGAACAACGCCGGCTGCTGAGCCCGACTCTCACAGAGAGTTTAATTACCGACTATCAGCCCTTGTACTTTTGGACTCACCTTGAAGTATCATTGGATGATGAAAGTAAACTTTGGTGACGGCCTATGCCGGCCGCAATCAACAGGTACCGTACCTCGGCTACTTGCCACCACACAGTGCGCAGTGGCGGCGGTGCCATCGGAGCCCCGACACAGGCGATCTGATGGCACCTTGAGCGTAGTGCTGAGCACCGACTTAACGTCCACTGCATCCTGTTCACGGACGACTGAAAGTCTAGGTTCAAGCACTACTGATGAGGTTGTGGCGCAAGTTGAAGCTGAGACTCGGACTCTCGTATTTGTTGACTCCATCACCACCATCATCATCATCACATCAAATGCGTCCGACCCGCCACTGTTACAACAGACTCACCTCGTCAAAGCGGCATTGATTCAAAGCTTTGACCAGAACCGGCTTTGCACCGCAGTTTACTGAACACAGCCGTATGGTGTCGGAAAGGACTACATAACTTGTGGGTAAGTTTCATCATTGACTCAGCACTGTTAGCAACGCAGCAGGCTCCAAGCCTTGCTCTGGAGGGACCACTGGCACGAGCAAATTCCTTCCGTCCTCCAAATCTTCCACTATGTTACGCCGTCGCCGCGTTGTGTGAAGGCATCCGTACTTTCGCACGCTCACGGTCACTCTGAAGCGTATCAGCCGAGAAACTCAGCCACACGAAGCAGGTATTGCCTTGTATTTTCCTCATAAGCACTCGCCTCACAGCCGGCGAACCTTTGCGTTCCTGTCTGAGATCTTCAAACTGAATGGTGAAGACGAAAGGCAGGCTTCAGATTATCTGTAGAATGATTGAATTGTGCATCAGTTCACAAAAACATCTCTACTTGTACACCGCAAATACTTTGGGTATAGGTACATGGAAAAAAAATACGAAAGCATTAATTATGCAGTTTCTACTATGGCTACACTGTATGGCAAAGAACAATGGAAAGATACCCGCAAGGAATGGCATTATGATTATGGCATGAACTACTGTGAAACCGATGCTGTGAAAGTGTCAACGTGGTATAAATCTCGGTGAAGATCGTTACTAACCTCCGCTGTTTCGTGAGCCACGGTTGACAGTCAAACCACTAACACTGGAGTTCGAAGTCACTATGGAATTATGGTAGATGTGGATGTGATTGATTGCTTGGGAAGAAGTTGGATTGGTGTCTGTTTGGGGTTGAGGGGCACCTGGTGTTTGGGTATCTTCATCAACTGCATCTAATCGACTCAATAGGCTCGCAGTATCAGCAAGAGTCACCATATCATCCTCTATTTGAGCACATTAGTTTTTCTCAAACTTAACTGTGACAACCCCTTACCGTCGTTCAGCTGAGGAATAAAGGGATTGTCGACAAATGGATCCAACGCATAGGAAGCCATGGTATCAGTTGCATCGAAGATTGTTTGAATGGTGTCGTCGTCCAACGGGCCAGCGAGGTTGATCGCGATGCCAACGACGTCCGCGCCCGCCGGTGCTGGATCTGAAGTATACGACAAGGTGATCAATGGCTCTTTACGCTGAGATGCTCACGATTTACCGTTGACAGTATGCATCTCTGCACTTGGAACCGTTTGCATGAGTTTCGTGTCTCTTTGCATTTTCTCGGATGTCTCCTTGATGTGCCATCAGTTGATATGTTGAGCATTTAGCAGATGCCTGACCCTCGTTTCACGATACAGAGTCAAGGATGCGGCATGAAACACTCGGGCTGTTCGGTAATTTGAGAAGGCCTTGAAAGGATTGAGGGTTTTTTCGTTGTTCTGTAGTTTTGCCCTTTTTGCTGCTAGACTACCGACACATGAGTACCAGACGATGGAAAAGTGATCGACTACCACTAACGCTTCATACTTAATTCTTGTGTTGTAAATAAACTCGTCGTTTCTGGAGAGATCGATTCCCAATTCTTTTATCTTCACCATCTCCTCCAAAGTTGCGGAAAGCAGTAGGCTGCCTTTGTTGAGGTTACTGCCACCATGATAAGCAAGGGGAAAGACATGTTGGTCATATTTATTGGCAGAGCCGAGATCGAGAGGAAGGATTATAGTGGTGGGCTCTGCGGACATTGCTCCGGGACCGAGGGCTATGGTGGAGGTACAGGAATAAAGATGGCTGGGAGTGGAAATGGGCAGGAGCGATAAGAAAGGCAGTCCTGGCATCATAAATCCCAGGACAAGTATTGTTTCGATCGATGTTACGCAATTCTATAGAGTGTCTGGGAAAATGGATCAACACGATGTCAAGAAAGAAAATCGGTCCCAGTTGTGCAACATAGAAGCAACGCGGGCGGATCCCTCGAGAAATGGAAGAAGAATGGCGAGATAGTGTTCCCTCCCGCTTCAACGATCATGGTGACCGAAAGATACTCCGCGCTTGTCGCTGTTTACTGAAAACCCCGCGAAACACAAGTGGCTGAGACGTGGGCGTATGTTTGTGCATATTTAACCACGTGGTTGGCGCACACTATGTTGCTATTAGAGGACCCTGCTTTTCGCGCATGTCATGACTTCAACAACGGCGCGAGAAGCTGGACTAGATGCTCAGCTCTCCAAGAGGGAACTCGAGGTTTGGGGTACAAATGTCCATCTCCGCCCAGAAGAACTAGACCCCAGAGAGGTCTGGTGGCGTGACCGGTACCAGCAGCTGCACATTCGTGGACACCGTCTTCGTGCTAGGTACTCACCGGAATGGGTGCCCTCATGGACAACATCGAACAAGAACTGGGAAGACTGTGAAGATGGGAAAAGGTTAGAGGTATGGGTACTCTTCTTCTTCTTCACCACCGACTCCCACAAGTTCGCATCGCAGTACGGCCAAGTGATTGATGCGACTCGGATCTCGGACGGCAAGGTGGTCACTTTGAAGCGGATCAATAAAACAGAACATCCTTATGAAGTAGATATTG